CTTTGCTGCGTTTTCAATCCGCTTTTTTAAACTCGTCGCGCTTTTTGACCATCGTAGGCCACTACCCACTTTGTACAACGATCGTCTCTGCTTTTTGAGATGCCTTGGTCTTTCTGTGCCGCAGCTTCTCCGCCACTTTCTGAGCAGTGGGTTATGTAAAGCCGCTCAGAGTGAGACCTCTCGCAGTTTGTTCCCCTCTGCAGCTCCATGAAAACATCTCCGTCGTGGAGCGTGAGGTCTGGGGATCTTCCAGGTGTTTCGGGTCCCTCAGCTCGAAGTCAGCGACTCGTCGTTATCTGCGAGGTAACCCTGAAGTCAGAGGTCAGCCTCCTGACCCACAAATTATTAACAACCTGCTAGCTGCTGAGTAGAAGCGTCTCTGTGACTCTGGAGATAAATAATCAGCTGTTTTTATGAAATATTTTCATTTGTATCCGGTTCCGGTTCGGAGAGAACTCTCACGTTGCTAAGAGTTTAAATAAAACCTAAAGTTTAACCCTGAAAGTGAAGAATGTGTTGCTAATTAACACGAGAGCTATTGGAGTAAAGTCTGTGTGTTGACGTGATGGAAATGACGTCATTTCCTGTTAAAGATTTCAAAGTTAAATCTTAAAGTCAGACTCGGTAAAAGTTTTCGATCTTGGTTTCTGGTTCTGATCCGGTACGGTGATCCTGAACGTGGAGGACTACGTTTCCCACAATGCAAATGGAAACCGTCGATTGTAGCTGCAGCCTTCAAAATAAAAGCTTTGTTTTGTTTATCTTCTTTGTTGGTTTTGGACCAAAACTTTATTCAGATGATTAAAGATTATATCAGATATGATGATGAATTATGATAATAAAACGAGATTAAATACGCGTTAGCAGCTTTGAATAAAAAAAAATAATCATTTTATAGAACCATCTGTCTCAGATCAGAAATATTAGATAACATTTATTAGTTTCATTGATTATTACTGTCAAGTTTGAAAGGTTAGTTTACTATCAGGCTGGTTAGAAAGCTTCAATTTTCATTGTTAGTTTTTTTTAAAATTTCTTTTAAGTTTTTACTTCCTTCACCTTTTATTCTAAAGTATTCCCACCTTTCTGACCTCTGACCTGATGATTATGACCCTCAGAGATCAGGGAAAACGTCTGCTTTTTACTGTGAATGATTCTGGACCTTCTGACTGCTCTGATCTGATTCAGTCCGTTGAAAGTGAACAGGTTTCCGGACAAGACGGGAATCCCTGTCCTCTGGTCTACTTCCTGTCCTTTGGTTTCCTGTCCTCTGGTCGACTTCCTGTCCTTTGGTCTACTTCCTGTCCTGTGGTTTCCTGTCCTCTGGTCGACTTCCTGTCCTTTGGTCTACTTCCTGTCCTGTGGTTTCCTGTCCTCTGGTCGACTTCCTGTCCTTTGGTCTACTTCCTATCCTGTGGTTTCCTGTCCTCTGGTCGACTTCCTGTCCTCTGGTCGACTTCCTGTCCTGTGGTTTCCTGTNCTCTGGTCGGATACCTGTCCTTTTGTCTTATTCCTCTCCTGTGGTTTCCTGTCCTCTGGTCGACTTCCTGTCCTTTGGTCTACTTCCTATCCTGTGGTTTCCTGTCCTCTGATCGACTTCCTGTCCTGTGGTTGACTTCCTGTCCTGTGATTTCCTGTCCTCTGGTCTACTTCCTGTCCTTTGGTTTCCTGTCCTCTGGTCGACTTCCTGTCCTTTGGTCTACTTCCTGTCCTGTGGTTTCCTGTCCTCTGGTCGACTTCCTGTCCTTTGGTCTACTTCCTATCCTGTGGTTTCCTGTCCTCTGATTGTCTTCCTGTCCTGTGGTTGACTTCCTATCCAGTGGTTTCCTGTCCTCTGATCGACTTCCTGTCCTGTGATTTCCTGTCCTCTGGTCTACTTCCTGTCCTTTGGTTTCCTGTCCTCTGGTCGACTTCCTGTCCTTTGGTCTACTTCCTATCCTGTGGTTTCCTGTCCTCTGGTCGACTTCCTGTCCTT